ATATTTTGTCTTTCTACACGATCAAAACGGGATAGACTGTTACTTATGTTGTGGATTCCGGGGATGGAATCCTGCACAAATAAATAAACAACACCAGAAATTGAAATAGAAAAATATGTGTATTAAACGTAAGAATACAGACTTGAAATGAAGATTAGTAGTCCAGGAATGCGGGTTAGTAGAAAAGTATATGTACAAGTCTCTGTAAGTGAAGCCGTAATTATCTCTCTTTCTGGACTCTCGTATAACTCCGAGTGAACACCCTGTCCCGACCTTTTTGTCACGCTATCTCTCCGTAGTATAAGTATACTTTGGACGAGTCCATCTTGTGTACAAGAGGCGATCCCCACAATAATTTATGAGATATTGGCAGAGCGTAACGGCCGTGCGAACTAACTAAGCGAGGAACAAGCACAATTATATAATAATAATAATAATATACTTTTAGTATATTAATGTGTGTTGGTAATGTTAGTATTATTAGTAGCAGAGTGGTGGTACTAGTAGTAGTAAAAATACTCTCTGAGGGTTTAATTTTTTTCTTTTGTTTAGAAAATTTTTGACACTGCCTAGTTTACATAGATTACTACGTCTGTTAATATCGCAATTGTTGACCCTTTAACAGATTTTTACGTGTCCCCACTTTTATTAAGACCACCCCATTTACTGCATATTGAGAAAAATTTAAACCCCCTGCTTTTAAGAAGACCACTCGAGTATAGTTGCCGTAGCAGTCGTTCCTTAAACCATTCGATTCCAACCAGATGTTGTCAGCACTGAAGAGAAAATTTAAAGTTATTTTCGCTGGAAATTGTATGTTGTTTTTTTTGTTTTGTTTTGTTTTTTCTTACCTTTCACATTATTCCAAGAAAGTAAAGTCAACTAAAAAAGAAATAAAGGAAATTCCTCATAACATATTTTTTTTTTTGACTTTACTCAAGTTTTGTTTTCTTTTTCTGTTTTAAATTAATATTTGTAAGTTATTTTTATTTGCCACTGTGATAATTTTGAGTTTCTCTTGACAGCATCTCCAGTTATCACTCTTTCACAAACATATTTCAAACGGTTTTGTATCTACACGAACGCATGTATGCGTGAACAACAATTTCAAGCTTCGTTGGTTTCTCTAAATGTCTTTTATGTGCCATATTCCTTCAGGACGTGAGCGATCATGGCTCTTCTCAGCTTCCGATCTTTTGTTTTTCAAAGTAATTCAAACAGATAACTGAAATTTTATACAGATCAGCGTTCTGTTTAAATATGATCACGTAGTCGTCACGTGGGCGATGTTGTTAAAAAGTATTCGAAGATGATTTTCAAAAATTAAAATATTAAAAAGTCGATTGAAAAGTTTTTATAAACAGTTCAAGAAATCTCTTCCGTTGGGCTCTTATGTCCATCGTCTTTTGTATTAAATTTTTTGTTAATTATGTTGAAATGAAAATGTCCATGAAGATGGTCTTAAATAGACCGAAACGTCCGACGTCGACTTTATTTTAACATTAATACTACATAAATGCATATTCAGATTTTTGTTTTTTCTGTATTTTTCTTTCATACTGTCGGATTTATATCCATATATTTGCTTACATATATATATATATATATATATATATATATATATATATATATATATATATATATATTGTCGTCTAAATTACGCAAAAATGAAAATAACACTAACATCTCATTTCAACAGATATATTTATCAAAATCACACAAAAGTATCTTGAAATACTAAAAAATAAATTTATTGGCTTCAACCACGACCTCCAGATGATTTCGGAATCTCCTACAACTCTTTTGAACGGTCTCCTTATTTAAGTTAGAGAATGCTTCCATAATCCTTGCTTTCAGTTCATCTTAAGTGTTACAAGGAGTTTTGTTGGTCTTTCGTTCAGCCGCATACCCACACGTAATAATCTAGGGGTGCATCTGGGGAGTTCGGTGGCCAGATGTAAGAGGTGGTGTGGTCTCAGAAATTGCCTGAATGGAAGTATGGAATGTTACGATTAAAACAAAAGAAAAAGGTTTAATTTTTTTCTCCCCACTTCGTTTTTTATTCCTTTATTATTATTATTATTATTATTATTATTATTATTATTATTATTATTATTATTTTCTTTGATTTCTGGCGTTTACACATTTCTTTCCGGGTCCCGCCCAGGGACCCAAGGTTAGAAATGGCGTCATGACACTTTCCACTGACAAAAAAAAAAAAATGATTACATAGATAAAGCCCTTCGTAAGGTGTGGGCTGTACTTGTCAGAACAATTTTCTGTATCTCCTTGAGGCATGGACTTCCAGAAATCCCTTCAATTAGTCTACTGGAATCTTTTCCAACCAGTCCTAGGGCTCCAACTACAACAGGGTTGTTGATGTTCCCATATGCCACATTTTCGCGATTTCTATTTCAAGGTCCTTGTGCTTTTGACAACTTTTTGAATATCTTCAAAGATACATTGCAGTCGGCAGGGACTGCCATATCAATAAGGAGGC